CATTACTCAACTTTCTCTTCTCAATATCCCACAGGTTCTCTATGGGGTTCAGGTCAGGAGAGTTGGCAGGCCAATTGAGCACAGTAATACCATGGTCAGTAAACCATTTACCAGTGGTTTTGGCACTGTGAGCAGGTGCCAGTTCGTGCTGAAAAATGAAATCTTCATCCCCATAAAGCTTTTCAGCAGATGGAAGCATGAAGTGCTCCAAAATCTCCTGATAACTAGCTGTATTGACCCTGCCCTTGATAAAACACAGTGGACCAACACCAGCAGATGACATGACACCCCAGTGACTGTGAAAACTTGACACTGAACCTCAAGCAATGTGAATTCTGTGTCTCCTCTCTTCCTCCAGACTCTGGGACCTTGATTTCCAAAGGAAATGCAAAATTTACTGTAATCAGAGAACATAACTTTGGACCACTCAGCAGCAGTCCCAGGTGAGATACTTCTGACACAGTCTCTTGTTCAAGCGTGGCTTGACCTGGGGAATGAGGCACATGTAGCCCATTTCCTGCACACGCCTGTGCACGGTGGCTCTGGATGTTTCTACTCCAGACTCAGTCCACTGCTTCCGCAGGTTCCCCAAGGTCTGGAATCGGCCCTTCTCCACAATCCTCCTCAGTGTCCGGTCACCTCTTCTCGTTGTGCAGCATTTTCTGCCACACTTTTCCCTTCCCACAGACTTCTCACTGAGGTGCCTTGATACAGCACTCTGGGAATATCCTATTTGTTCAGCAATTTCTTTCTGTGTCTTACCCTCTTGCTTGAGGGTGTCAATGATGGCCTTCTGGACAGCAGTCAGGTTGGCAGTCTTACCCATGATTGCGGTTTTGAGTAATGAACAAGGCTGGGAGTTTTTAAAAGCCTCAAGAATCTTTTACAGGTGTTTAAAGTTACGTTGTTGATTCAGATGGTTAGGTTAATAGCTTGTTTAGAGAACCTTTTCATGATATGCTATTTTTTGGGACAGGCATTTTGGGTTTTCATGAACTGTATGCCATAATCATCAGTATTAAAACAATTAAAGACCTGAAATATTTCAGTTGGTGTGCAATGAATCTGAAATATATGAAAGTTTCATTTTTATCATTACATTATGGAAAATAATGACCTTTATCACAATATGCTAATTTTTTGAGAAGGACCTGTAGAAATATGATTTGTTTATTACAAGGGACACAAGTAAAATTAATAAAGTTGACGATGTAAGCTTTTGTGATTTTAAAATGTATTCTGTTTTAAGTTGTTCATGATGTCGAGAATATAGGAAGTGAACTGTTTTCTCAGAAATGATGTTCAGTTGTTGTACAAAGAGTTACTAAAAAAAAGATGTTTCACAATGGTAGACCTTAAAAACAACTCCAAGCAAAAAGACAATATCCTAATAAGGCAAACAAAAGAGAAAAACAACTCAGAAGTTGACTCAGACATGTCCGGACAGAACTGGACAAAATGAGTTACACCCAGATTTTAATATGTATAAGAAGTGAGGTAAACACCTCCGTAGACATGCATGGAAGTCCTGAATCAAGTCCGCCCCAAAGAGGTGGGATTGAAGGTGGCATGATGTTTCGGAGGTGTCAGTCAAACCTCACTATAAATACTGACTGCACTAAAAAACTGGGCTGTTGGACCACCGGATCATGTGGATGTAAGGATAAGTTTTTGGACGGTTCCAGCTGAAGGAGCATTGGGGCAAATCTGTTGAAGAGGCTTCGATTGGAGTCACTTTCTTTCTCTGCCCGGATTATAATAATATTTGAACCCTTTTCTTCAAATTCTGACCAGCTACAGGACCAGAGACGGCCCTATTCAATTGTGAATGGGGAAATTTGCTTCTTACTGAGCTGGAATTTTGAGGAATTCCACCAAAAAGGCGATGGTAAAAAGACAATTCACCAATATTGTCCTTAATAACAATTTATATCAAATTAGAGCGGTAGCCTATAAATCGGCAGGCAGAAAGATCAATTATATTATAAATTTGGTTGCTTGGAGTTGTGAAAGATTTGTTATTGTGGTGAGAGATAACATTTTGGGGCAGGTAGAGAGTGTGGGTAAATTGTGGGGGTTCTAGAGCACCTGAGTGAGTTAGGACGTGTCCGGCCAGGAGGAAATTATCTGAGGCTGAACAGAGCAAGTCCACAGCTATCCTCAAGCTCTCCACAGGGATAGAAAACTACCTTGCCTAGGAAAGGTCAACATCTGGAAAATAAATAAGGTCTGAATATTATTCACCATGTATCTTCTTTGTAATCAAATGTAATCACTGTGATTGGATTGTACATATCACTGCTTCCCCTGCAAAGTCATTGATTAAAGCAAAGCAAAAAGTAAAATTATGGATTCTTATTTCAACCCCCCTCTGTTCATGGAAGTGGAAGACTTGGTTCAGTGAAACAAGAAAAGCACGGGAGGTTTTAAAAGGTTTCATAGCTTTGATTATAAAACAACATCCAAGATACTTATACCTAGATTCTAAACAAAGCCAGATTGGATAACAATTGCAATGCTAAATTAGGAGATGAGCTACCATTAACTTGCGCTTCCTCATCTGACAAACTTCCCACTCCTGCTGCTTGTTCGGGTGAGGCACGAGGTGAGATTTTGGGTGTGGTACATGGATCGTAGGTAGTTAACAGTCTGGGTGAATCATCTCAACACAGCCTTAGACTAAAAACTGTCCTAGGAAACAGCTGCGGGTAATACCTGAGCCTTAGGATTAGTTCTAAGACCCCTTGGAGGAGAAGGCTGCAGTGAGGTCGTGGCACGTGTCCTGTGTCTACCTCACTCGGGTAAGCGAAACAGTCCCCTCTTATTCTCTTTATACCTGCTGCCACTTGGTGCTATTTTCCTGAAACACAACATACCCTTTCACTTCTACGCCGATGACTGTCAAATTTACTTCCCCCTAAGACACAATGGTACATGCTCTATTCAACCTCTGCTCGACTGCCTGGCTGACATCAGGGACTGGATGGCTTTAAACTTCTTAAGTTTCAATGAAAAGAAGTCTGAAGTAATGTTGTTCCCTCCCAACAACACAATCACAAACCACTGCATCGACCTTTCCACTCTATTCCTGTCAGAAAAACAAAGAGTCACTAATCTGGGCGTGATAATGGACCCTTCCCTGAAACTTAACAATCATGTAAACATGATTGTTAAATCGTGTTTCTTCCGACTGAGGCGACTGTCTAAACTGAAGCCCATATTGTCCAAAAATAACCTGGAGACAGTAATTCATGCATTCATTACATCTAGGCTTGATTACTGCAATTCACTCCTGTTTGGTATCAGTCAGGCCTCCATTGCACGACTACAACTGGTCCAGAATGCAGCAGCCCGATTTTTAACCAGTACAGGCAAAAGAGAGCACATTACACCAGTTTTGGCCTCACTGCACTGACTACTGGTTCACCTTCGAATCCAGTTCAAAATACTCCTGTATGTCTACAAATCGCTGAACAGTTCCCCCCCAATCTCTCTGATCTGCTACAACCGTATGTCCCACCACGTTCCCTGAGGTCAGTGGACCTGTTGCTCCTCACAGTTCCAGGAACTTGTCTTAAGCACAGAGGTGACAGGGCCTTCTCTGTAGCAGGACCAAGACTTTGGAACGAGTTACCTCTGCTTGTCAGACAGGCCCCCTCCCTCTCAGTTTTCAAATACTGTTAACAAACCCACCACTATTCAGTAGCTTTCAACACCAGAGGATCTGTGTTTTGAACGTGTACGCTCCACACTGGTTTGTCGTCATATCGGCAGCGTTTTTATGTCTATATTTTGATTTACTTCATTTTGTATTTTGCTTTGTGTGTTACCTGTTGTTCTGTCTGTACAGCACTTTGGTTGGCCTTGTCACTGTTTTAAGTGCTTTATAAATAAAATTGTATGGTTTGGTATATTTTTGTCACATTTAGATGTAAACACACGTCAGTGAGCGCACGCCTGCGAGGCTCATACACAGGTGAGGAGCATGAGGAGTGCGTGCGTGTGTGTGTGTGTGTGTGTGTGTGCGTGCGTGTGTGTGTGTGTGTGTGTGTGTGTGTGTGTATGTGTGTGTGTGGTAGAGTGTTGTATGAATATGTGTGTAGTTGAGTGCTATATGAATGTGTGTGTTTGTGTGTGTAGTAGAGTGCTGTATGAATGTGTGTGTGTAGTAAAGT